GGGGCCAAGGATGTTCTGAGCACAAAATTCCTGATGATTCCTAGAGTGTGTTCATGTGTTCAAATGACAAAGGTAGCTCTTCCAGTCACCGGAAACTGCAATGGCTAGAGCCACTCTTGTCACTTCCGGGTAGCTCTAGGAATGGCCAGGAACTCTATGGTCAGAACTTCCTATAAGTAAATGAGGTCTCTCCCTCCCCCTTTTTACATTTTTCTCCTGGGACTCTTCCCCACACAAACCCTCATGGCAGTTGCCAGACCACGCAGGACCAAAGCGGGATGGGAGGAGGATGGGGCATACTGGTCTAGCCCCACCCCCCTAACTGTATTCAGCTCAAGACAGGTCATATGTAGAAGGCTACCATAAATCATATCTAGAGAACTGAGCTGCAGACTGTGGAACCACACATCCCACACTCACCGGCTCCTGGAGGCCACAGATCTGGAGGCAGGTCTGGAAAGAGGCTCCTGATGCCTTCTAGGAACTGATGGCACGTCTGTTCCCCCTTGATCTGGACCTTGACCAAGAGCTTGCGCATCTTCTCCCAAGGGTCCAGAAGCTTATCCAAAGCTTCATAATCAGCCTCGGAAACAAAGCCCTGGGCGGCTGTATCATCCAAGATGAGATCAGGTGCTCTTTGGAGGAAGGTGATGAGCTTTCTACGGCCCCTCCGGATCGTCTCAAAGGCCATGGATGGGGGCTGAGGCAACTATCCTGGAGAAAGACATTTAAACACATCAGATCTTTAAGGATCTGTTTCCCTGTTCAGAGAACTCTCACCCCATTATGTGCAAAAAAAGCCCTCATGAACATCATCCAAGGTCAAAATTAAATCTGTCCCCTTTGACAACTTATATTCTGTTCATCCCAGGGATCCCCCAACCTTTTCGAGCCTGTGGGTGTGTTTGGAATTCTGACATGGTGTGTGGCGGGATGCAAGCACAAAATGGCCGCCAAGGGAAGCGGATCCAATGACAAAATGGCCACCACGAGAGGTGGGACCACACGTACATACACTCAGGAGGCCCAGGTGCTGGGGACAAGAGGAGTCATTTAAAAAAAGAAAAAAACATCAGGAAAGAGGAGTAAGAGAGAACAAAATACTGTGGTGGCAGCCGCCGCCGAAACAATGTCATTTTAATCTGAACAGCCAATCACATCCCCAGTGGCCAATCAGAAGCCCTGCTGGACAGGAGCCTCTCCCGGATGCACCCACTTTCTTAAAACACTTGGCAAGTTCCACAAAAGGTGTCACCAGGTGATAGAGGCACATGGAGATCAGTTCTTATAGCAGGAGATCTCCATCCACCACCTGGAAGTTGGCAACCCTAACTATCAGAGAGAGGCCATGTGTTTCCTTATGAAGGGCTACCGATGTGTGAACCTGGGCAGAGAGAACAGAGCGAGCGGGGCTGGCGGAGAGGAATTCTCCTGCAGTCCAGTGACGGACAGGCTGCGTGTTTTGGAATCCACCAGCCACAACTTTGGTGACCAGGCTCCCTCGAGTCTAGAGATGTAAAATTTCCAGAAATTTTGAAGCTCGGAAAAATGGAAATTTTCGGAAAAATTGAAAAAAATGCGACATTAGTATTTCTTTTGTCTTTTCTAGATTGAAAGTCATTCTGTTACTTTAGGAACATAAAATATGACTATGGACATTTTTACTTGGCATGAAATTATCACAACTAGCATATTAAAAATATAGTGTATCCAAACAATTACTACAAACAGAATACCCACCCACATGCAAAAACAAAACTGAAACCTTTTTATTGTCTTCTGACAATAGCACCTCCTAAAGGAAGAAATGCATCTTGCATTGGAGAGTTCAGTTTGTAACCTAGGACTTGCTTGTCCTCTTCATCATGTTAAAATAAAACGTTCCATAATCAATTTCTTTTCTTTTCTTTTTTCAAAAATTTTTCCAAATTTTTTCGGTTTTTTTCCAGGCCTTCACATTTCTACTCAAGTCATTTATATAACCGGGTTCTGTTTTTGTTTGCCATAACAATTATCTCCCTGCTGATGAGACAGAACTCCTGTGGCTGGAGGGGAAGGGAGTGTGCCTCATTGCACCTGGGGCTCCCGGAGGCGCTGCGGAACTGCTCCCTAACCTGAGTCTGGCGAGGCAAGCCTGCTGGGATGAGCACCTGGGGAAAACCCGAGCACGCCCCTCCCTGGAGCCAATCAAAGAGCGTTTTGGTTGCCCCCGCCCAGCATTCTAGGAAAGTGTTGCCTTCTGAATTTCACTTGGCACTCAGGTGATAGAGGCACAGGTGCCTTGCTAGGAGACGAGAAAAAACACTGGCAAACTTAGGTAGACGTAGACTTGTTCCCTGCATTGGTTATGCCCTGACCTGGACAGCCCAGCTCATCTCCAGACTACTAGTTTGTGGCTAGTATTTGGAAGGGCGACCTCCAAGGAATACCAGGGGCATGAGGCAGAGGCAGGCAATGGTAAACCACCTCTGAAATGTCTCTTGCTTTTAGGGTTGCCGGGTCCCCTCTGGCCACCGGCGGGGGATGAGGGGTAGGGTTGCCAGATCCAGGTTGGGAAACTCCTGGAGATTTGAGGATGGAGCCTGGGGAGGACAGGGACCTCAGTGGGGTCCAGTGCCATAGAGTCCGCCCTCCAAAGCATCCATTTTCTC